GCTATGTCGGAAGTGTCTGGGGTGGTCCGAGGCCAAGGGTGTCTCAAAAAGTGATGGCAACCACGCCCTAGGCCTTGGGAACTTCCGTTTCGACTGAGGGCGACCGAACACCGGCGGCTTTGAAAGCAAGTACCGTCCTCAGGGCACTCAGAAGTGGTTTGGAGAGACCTACCGTGGTTTCTAGATATGTCACAAATTCATTGATAGATCTATGTTAGGTAGATCTATTTTGGGGGCCAATTCCTTCTGTCTATGGAAGTCTGGTCATTTCCTGCCAGCATTGTCTGGCAGAAACGAAGCGTCTCAGCTCCGATCTACTACCCCGTCGGACCTTGGGACCGGAAGGTACGTCATGGAAGACACATCGCCCGAAGGGGACCGAAGGGACCGAAGTCACCTCGATTTTAAACGCCAAGGTGGGCAATTCATGCTCGTTCCTCAAGAAGGCATGTGAATTGGACATCATCTCAGGGTGGGTAGCAACTACAAATTGATGCACCATGTCTCACAGGAGGCCTTACCGATCGAACCCATGTCTCAATGTGGACCTGACATACTCAAGGATCCATCAGCGAACCCACCAGCATTCGCACCATGCGACGCAGAATCGCAAAGGCCTATCAGGCAAGTCTTTTCGTGCTACGAGAGCTGAAAGTTGAAACATGCTGGAAACAAGATAAACGTGCTGAGTGTCAAAATGACCATTTCCTGGGGCAAACCCATCCTTTTCAAAACTGCATCGACGTGATGTCTTGAAGAGTCAGCCACACTCAAGAAGTGCAACAGGTGGTGAGTAATTGAGCTGGAGACAGCACGAGGCCGTTCGTTGATTCTGCGGCATCTTCTTCTTTCAACAGAAGGCGGAAAAGGCAGAAGGTGCCTCTTACTCACAAAAGCTTTCTCTGCAGCTTTGTTGTTGGATGTTACAACAGTTCACAGGTATGAATCAAAAGATATGGATCAATGGTATGCATCATATCCTTGGGAGCGCTATGGATCGAGGTATGAATCGGTACGGATTCCATGTGTGGTCATGCATTGTTCCATGCCGATGCAGAATTCTTAAGATTTGAGCCGAGGCCGTGTTGAAATTCGAAGGCATTCCAGTTTGGAAACTGACGGAATTAAAACCTTGCCAGTCTTGCCCTGCAGGATTCAAAGCAGATGGAGTTCCATTCTTTAGACTCTTAAGACTCTTAAGACTTTAAGAAAAACACGTTTTCAAGTTTTCACCTGGGTATGCCGGATGTGCAATCACAAGTCTTTATACGTGATCTAGAGATAGACCCACCGGTTCCCATACATGGACTACATGGCTCGCCCCACCTCATATGTGGAATCAGTGAAACGGAATGATTGTTTCTTGGTCATGCACAAACACGGAGTTTCAAAAAGTGATGCCCTAAACCTTAGGAAGTTCCTTGCACAGCAGCCTTGAGTAGCTGAGCTTGAAGTAGCACAAGCTCTTTGTTTACTATATGCAAAGGCAACTGCAGCAATTATATTAGGTGGTTCAGCTCTCTACTAGCGTTAGGTGGCTCTGCAGTTAAGGTGACTGTGCACAAGGAGCTATGCGTGTGGTCGACTGTAAGACCTACAAGTAGTTCCCGGGTAAGCCGGCGGCGGAAGTTTCCTATAAGAACAAATTGACCTATAGGAGTGTCCACGTTCTCTCCAACATGCGCGTCCTCCAGTCAAACGCACGCGCTCCGGACTTTTGACCCACGGGATTCCACGTGTGTAAGGTGTGTGCCCCCTGCAGGATCAGTGTGTATGATGAGTGGTGTATTGACCAGCAGTTGAATGTCCTGTCCTGCATAAATGCAACCAAATACTATCAGTATGAACTGTGCCAAACCTGCACGCCGCGAGAGATGACTCAGCAGCGAGAGATGACTCAGCCGCGAGAGATGGCTATAGCGAGAGCTGACTCAGCAGCGAGAGATGAATGAGCAGCGAGAGATGACTCAGTCGCGAGAGATGACTCAGCAGCGAGAGATGACTCCTCCGCGTACTACACTTGTACTACAAAGTGGCCAGTTCTCAGCTTCCAGCTCCACAGGTTGCTCCGCGTGCTAAAGTTGTACTAGAAAGTCGCCAGTCAGTTCTCATCTTCCAGCTCTACAGATTGCTCCGCGTATTGCAGTTGTACTACACAGTCGCCAGTTCTCAGCTTCTAGCTGCACAGATTGCTCCGCGGACTAAAGTTGCACTACAAAGTCGCCAGTACTCAGCTTCCAGCTCTACAGATTGCTCCGCGGACTAAAGTTGTACTCGAAAGTCGCCAGTTCTCAGCTTCCAGCTCTACAGATTGCTCCGCGTA